TGTTTGTTTCTTCAGCATTTGCACGATCCGAACAGTTTATTTATGTTCACTGGAACAATTGGCTGGAAATGGCCCTGTGCTAAACGTGCTTTATCTTTACCTAAAATATTGTATTTTTAACGTATAATTCGTATCAGCTAAAAGAATTTTGATGCTCACGCGGAAAGTATCGAAGGTCATGATAGCTATTTAGTTGTGGCATATTATGGCGATTATATTTATATAGATTATAGATATAGATAGACACTTGCCAAAGTTTCTGCAAAGACGATATGCGAAAAAAGCGTTATGTATGTGCGAGCATTATATACATTTGCAAAAGGTCTTACAAAATTGGAAACAAGTTTCCAAAGATACGCACGTGTCGCGATCATTTAATTCTCTTTCATGTATTTTAAATATCAAATTAATGACTCTTAAGAAATTTGTATTTGCGTCATCGTTCAAAATTCATTTCATCGACTGATTATATCCGCCTATAGCTATTCGGATATCGACTTTCAACCGCAAACGTAATTCTAACGTCAACCTTCAACCGCAAACGTAATTATAACGTCAACGTATAAGAAATATATTCTTGTTTGTAATGTTTGCAGCGTTGGTCAAAAGGTGCGTACTGCTATTTGCGTCAAGTCATTTAATCGTTAACTAAATATTAACAAACACGTACTCAGCATCTGTAAGAGTAGTGCCGACGCACAGATTAAAAATATTCAATCCATTGCTTCCTCGCGTTTCGCATTTTTATCGATATTGGAAAATGACTTTGAAGCTCGGTGAAGGAGATTCAGTATCTCAAGGCAAACTACTTTGAAATATATGATAAAATTGAACTTAACAAGCCTGATTTTTTGCTAATATACATATTCTTATAAAGGGTGTCTCAAAATTCACGCAAGAAGTAATTTTATAGAAAACACAGGTTTATAATTAAAAATTGTAAATTATTTATTGATTCATAAAGTATATAGTATACAGTATACAGTATAGGGTTATGTATGGAATAGCATATCGGGTAAACGGCCACAGCGAAGAGAGTTCGTTAAATGAATTATGGAACAACAAGTGGATGCTGATTTTTCGAACAAAATCATCTTCAGCGATGAGGCTCATTTTCATCTTGATGGCTTGGTTAATCGACAAAATTGTCGCATTTGGGGTTCAGAAAATCCACGAGTGATTGTTGAGACACAAATGCATCCACAACGTGTCACTGTTTGGTGCGGATTTTGGGCTGGAGGAGTCATCGGACCATTCTTCTTCGAAAATGCGGATGGTCAGGCAATAACAGTTAATGGTGCTCGCTATCGCGACATGATAATCCAGTTTTTTGTGTTTAAATTGCAAGATATGGATGTGGACGACATGTGGTTTCAACAAGACGGTGCCACATGCCATACAGCCCGAGAAACAATTCAATTACTGCATGAGTCATTTCCTGGTCGTGTAATTTCCTGTTTTGGTGATCAGATTTGCCCGCCCAGATTATGCGATTTAACGCCGTTGGACTTTCTTCTTTGGGGTTTTTTGAAGTCTAAGGTTTATGCCAACAATCCCACGACCACCCACGCCTTGAAGGAGGAAATTGAGCGCTGTATCAACGAAATTCAGCCACATTTATGCAAAACGGTCATGGAAAATTTCAATAAAAGAGTGCATATGTGCCAGCAAAGCCGTGGAGGCCATTTACCCGATATGCTATTCCATACGTAACCCTATACTGTATACTTTATGAATCAATAAAAAATTTACAATTTTTAATTATAAAACTGTGTTTTCTATCAAAATTACTTCTTGCGTGAATTTTGGGACACCCTTTAATGCATTGGTTGAGCGGAGACGCGCAAGAATGGGAGAAGAGAGAGAGAGAGAGAGAGAGAGAGAGAGAGAGAGAGAGAGAGAGAGAAAGAGAGAGAGGTAATGTAATAAAATAAACAATAAATAATGGAAATATTCAAAACACGTGTTCTCTCTCTGCGCATATAACATACAGAAACACATGCAGGTTATTAACAATTCGCGATTATCTGATTATCTTTTAGTTTTATTATGAAATAAACGAATGCTTTTTTGTAACAAACTTGGGAACGTTAATATTATTGTTTACATTTTATCGTTCAAGTTGACATTTCTTGTAGATTTATTAAATTTATGATTTCAGAATTGCAATTAAAGGATGGTGTTCAGGTCGCAGTGTCCGACTGTGACAAACCTGTGTGTCAATTGAAGCAGGGTACCACCGTTACCATACAAATCAAATTCAAGCCTAAGAAACAGATCCAGAGTTTGACCAACGCTGTGAGCGCAATTATTTTCAATGTGCCCCTACCGTTTGTAGGGGTCGATGGAACAAATGCCTGCGACAATATTTATAACGCTGATGGTAGCAAAGCTGGGTGCCCATTGCAGGAAGGCGTGGAATATACCTATAAAAATAGTTTCGATGTGTTGGCTTTTTATCCTAAGGTTGGTGTATTTCTTCTTTTTCAAACGAGAAATCTTTCGTCTGACTGCAATCACGCTTGTCCATTTTTTTTTATAATAATAAACACCAATTAATTAACGCGACGCACTAATTTCATGGTTACTTTCGATAGTGTTTGAACAATACCTATCCAGTTTAATACTGTACGATATATTCTTTTGTAATTCGGCTGATTTTCCCGTGTTCGATAAATGTTTATTGACGCTGTTTACAGGTTTCACTGACTGTACAGTACGCATTGAAAGAAGGTGACGATCAAGTATTATGCTTCGAAATACCATCAAAAATTACGAAATGATCTGTTTTTTGTTACGGACTTGCACATGCTATAATTAAAGGTCACAGTATGAGTAGCCAAAACGATCTGGATTCGATCATTTAATGTTTATATCATTTAATTTATCACGATTATGCTGTATTGTATGCGAAAATAATTGTCTCCATCTCGAGATTTTATGTGTGTGTATGTGAATACGTAAGATATTTTTAATAAAATAATTTTCAATTTATGTTGGGACATTTTATTTTATTCTTCATTCTTTCATTTAGCTTTGTGTTAGTTTTTAACAAGATTTTTTAATAATGTTATACAGTCGATACAAACAACTCAAGTTTGTAGCAATTATGGATGAATTGCAGATTGTACAGCTGCTTTATAGCTGTTATTGAAGCTACTCTTCTAAAATAGCACTTTAATTAGGCAGTAACTTTTTATCATTAGTCGATAATAATGTATTAGTTGTGTAATATGCAGGGTACGTCAATATGCAAAGTACGTTAAATTGGCTAAGGCTAGTTAATTTGAAAGTAAAACAGGAGCCTAAGTATTTCGTAATAGAATACATAATGCATATAAATTTTTTGTATTCGCTATAATTTAGTAGATACAATATTATATACGGATATACAGAAAATGTTGGACTCTTTTAATATTTTGCATTAAAATACGTATTTTGGGACTCTACCTTCTAATTGGTTGCCTTATTTTTTGACACCCTGTATGATATATTATATATTATTGCAAATAGATAATTTAATTTCTTGCCTAAAATCCATATGTGAGTTTAAAGTTTCTCAATTTGCATATGTTACTTTTCAAAATGTAAAAAATTTCATCAGGATTAATTACAATCTGTAAACATGTATTTACTTACAGAATAGTTAGAAATTGTTTGATATAATTGCGAGATTTTATTTATGAAATTTTTCGAATAAGTTAATTTTTACTTTTTTATATATCTCTATTCACAATTTTTCTAACTCTTTTGACTCTCCATTTCACTCTCTATCGTTTTTCTATCGTAATTCTCATTTGACTTTTTCATCTATTTTGTCGTTTTCGTTTATCTAAATTATATTTATATCGTATCTGATAGTGGTAAGTAATTGTAATTTCATTGGAAACAAGATTTGTTGTATTCATCTGTCGGTAAAACGGCAGTGCCCGCAGCAATTTCGACACTTGATGCCTTCAGCGACAATTGATCGAAACTTCTTACCGGCGTATAATCATACATACCATACTCCGCAAGTGGGAGTTTCGGAAAATTTTTGTATAGAGTATCTCAGAACTTCCTGCGAGAAACTTGTGGGGACATAGAGTAAATTAGGACAAACACAAAAGTTTCATACCATTTAGCGATATTCGCAATAATTATCGGGTTATTACAGAAATATAATGAACGAGCTCGCGAGATAGTAAGAATATTAGAGCCGCTTGAGCTCTAGTGCAGCCCAATCGACTCAGCAACTATTGCCAACACGCAGTAAAAGGTACAACGTACTGCTGCACGTGTTCTTACCGCACCTGTGGTCGCGTCGATATGTACGTGACAGCTAAATATTCGCGATTACAATTACGATGTCATTTTATGAGACTGCAGAGTTCATATTGAAACTGTGAAAAGATATGTGATAAAAAGAAGTTGAAAGATTTTGATAAAAAAAGATTGAAATATTTTTCGATTTTTTTTTGTCACAGAACTATTTACAGTTCATAATATAAATTATTTTTGTAGTCTCATAAAATGATCTCGTAATTGTAATTGCGAATTTCTAGCGGCCATATGCGAGCTTAAGTGTGGTGCTGCGAGATGTAAGAGCAACGAAGGACAACGCGCTGCTGCACATATGCTTACATAAGCTCGTATCGCTATGGCCGCTAAATATTCGCTATTACAATTACGAAGTCATTTTATGAGACTACAAAAATAAGGCAGCTGTAATAAAACAGACAACAAAAGTAGCTCATATTGAAAAGTAAAAAATTTTGTGATAAATAAAATTGGAAGATCTTTCGATTTTCTTTTATCACAGAATTTTTAACAGTTTCAATATAAGCTACTTTTGCTGTTTCATAAAATAACTTCGTAATTGTAATAGCGAATATTTGGCGGCCATATCTAGTAGCAATGCGACGGGAAACGTAAGAACGGGGAGCGGGTGAGAGATAAACACATGTAATGGTTTGTTATCTTTTCCTTCGCTACGTAACGGCAACAGTTACTAGAACGACTGGGCTGCGCTGCAGTTCAAGAACGATACAAACGCTCTTCCTTACAATTTCGGCGCGCTTATTCATCTGATATAATTTCTTTTATAATTAATAACTTGATAATTATTGCAAAACGCATATTGCAAAACAGCATGGGACTTATTTATTCGCCTTAATCTGTTCTACATTTTCACGAACTGAGGTACGATTGAGACGCTTTATATTTCTTAGACTTGGTGGATCGTGTTTATTCTCATTTTTATTCATTTAACATAAAATTATGGAGTCTTTGTAGTGCAGTCTTTTTTATAAACTTTCGTTCCATTTTGACAGCTAATCAAAGATCGATTTTTTTGGCGAAAAATCGTACTTTGAAGTTCAGATAAGCAATTCAGATAACTTTGCGTCAAATGTGAATTTTGAAAATCGGCTATAACAAAGATTAGATTTTAATATATATTTTAAGAATTTTTGGTTCGTATTTGCTTTAAATGAACTATATGATTAACAGCCACGTGTATTAATTCGCGCCGCGAGAAGAGAAGCGTTGTTTCCTCCATTCATTCTCCAGCAGCTGTCCGATGTGTGTTTCCAGAATATTGTAAAGAAGTTTTTACTAACTAGCATAAGTCATCATACTGAGGTGTTTGGTTACATTTCGCGCTAAACCGTTCTCCAACAGTTGGTGAAGAATGACGAAGAATGAATCGAGGAACAACGTTTCTCCTATCGCGACGTGAATTAATGCACATTATTGTATAGTGGATACTGCAAAACATACGAACAGTAGCCATGTTTGATGTTGATGGATGTATCTGCTATATTATATAACATTTTAACATGTGCTTTGGACATTTTTGGAATACAAATATAAATAACATATAGGCAAAATTCTGCTTCGTGCACGATACTTCTGATACTGTCCGAGAAAAGAATTCGTGAAAATAGAGTTAATTTTTGTGCCTCCAAGTATACGTCCCCTCACAAACTCCCACGAAGACTTGAACGTTTTTGTTTTGAGATCCCCTCCTTAAGAATCATGAAGTTTATTTGAACTAAAAATTTCATGTATAGCCAGTGAGGCGATAGGTAAAGTGTACAGGTTGCAGTCGTTAGTCGAGAATTGGAGCTAAATCTGATCAGATCTACAAGCACAATGCTGATCAAATTTTCCGAGCAAGAGACTGTGGTACCAAACACCTTCACCGGGATGCTGAGGGAAACTCTTTTCGTTTTCGCGGCATTTATCGTGCTTGCTGGTGCAACCATAGTCAATGACTGCGACAATGGTACGTGAATCACAATTATCGCATTATTCAATTCAAATAGTTTTTTTTAGTAACTTATTAGAAGTGGATTCTCGCGATTCTATTTCGTCCATAAATGATTTTTTTCACAAATATCAAAAATTAAATCTTTATCTCTTTTCAATATTTTATGTCGCATAATAACTTGTTGAAATGTAGTTAATTGTATGTAAAGGGACGATCAACGAAAATTCATTAAAATAATCGAGTAGTTTGCGGTAGAAATTATTGTTTTAAATAAAAAGGATTTTGTTAACTCTTTTGCAAAAATATCTGCACGGGAAAATATTTCATGCGAAAATTTGTAAATTAGACTTTATAGTTTTATTTTCTTGAGAAGCTATCGTCTCCTTCCTCGTGTCATCGAAAGGACACAAGTCTTGAGTTGTGTTTGTTTTAAAATTACTTCGTTACTCGCAGTGGAAAACTACTCATATATCATAGTGGAATGTTCTTGTGAAACTTTTACGCGGCATCGCATCGAAATTTTATTGCGAGCAAGAGATTAATATCGGTGCGATACAGTTTCCGGATTCGTAATTCCGGATTCGAGAAGCAGCGCTTGTGAACGTTTGCGAGCATTATAAGGGTATTAATTTTTCTTGAGCAATCCTGCGAAAGCGTGTAATGTCGTGGCAAGCACATTTGCGCAATTGCACGACAAATTGGAATTTATCCTCAAAAAATGACGAGATCATTAAAAATTATTATGCGAATTGTACGAATTGAGCACTAAGCACGATGTCGACGGTCGTCCCATTGATATACGGTATAGCGATGTAACTAGTGCTCTTGTAACTTTATCGTAACGATAACGATAAAGGTAATGACTACTACTTATCGGAAAGCACAATGCGAGCAAGACTCTCGACGAGTTACTTGTACTCGACGAGTATTGTTATTAATATTCGCATGTAATTAGTTGTGGGGAAACGAAATTGACGTACGGTCGAAATGATGAGTGGAATATTAACGTGAGCGTTAATTTTTACGATCAACATGTTTAAGATCTCAATGTTGAAGTCGACTGCGATGTATAAACATTTGCTTTCGTGAAAATTTTCAAACAATACTCCTTTTCAACGCATCTGAAATGTACGATTGAAAATATTTGATAGTCGCGACCTTCTAGCGTGTATATGTAGAGCACATATAATTGGTGGTTGGACTATTTGAGATTACTATTAGAATTATAGCTGCAATTTCGTAAAAATATTATTGTAAAAACATTGTGCTATCGAGTGCGACGTTACGCATATCACTCCACTTTGTATCCCTCTTACACTTCGAAATGTTTGTTTAGCATCTGTATGATCAAGATTTTTGCTAATATACATTCTTATAACGCATTGACTCTTGCGCGCATGTGCAAGAGAGAGAGAGAGAGAGAGAGAGAGAGAGAGAGAGAGATATATAATGTAATAAAATAAACAATAAATAATGGAAATATTCAAAACATGTGTTCTCTCTCTGTGCATATAACATGCAAAAACATATGCAAGTTATTAACAATTCGCGATGATCTGATTATCTATTAGTTTTATTATGAAATAAACGAACACTTTTTTGTAATAAACTTGGGAACGTTAATATTACTGTTTACGTTTCAAATTGAAAATTGTTGTTAATTTACCAATAATCTATGATTTCAGGAATACAATTGGAGGATAGTATTCAGGTCACAGTATCCGGCTGTAGAAAACCTATCTGTATATTGAAGCAGAATACCACCGTTACCATACAAATCAAATTCAAGCCTAAGAAACAGATCCAGCGTATGGACAACGCTGTGAGCGCATTTATTTTCAATGTGCCCCTATCGTTTGTAGGGGTCGATGGAACAAATGCCTGCGACAACATTTATAACGCTGATGGTAGCAAAGCTGGGTGCCCATTGCAGGAAGGCGTGGAATATACCTATAAAAATAGTTTCGATGTGTTGGCTTTTTATCCTAAGGTTGGTGTATTTCTTCTTTTTCAAACGAGAAATCTTTCGTCTGACTGCAATCACGCTTGTCCATTTTTTTTTTATAATAATAAACACCAATTAATTAACGCGACGCACTAATTTCATGGTTACTTTCGATAGTGTTTGAACAATACCTATCCAGTTTAATACTGTACGGTATATTCTTTTGTAATTCGGCTCATTTTCCCGTGTTCGATCGTAAATGTTTATTGACGCTGTTTACAGGTTTCACTGACTGTACTTTACGCATTGAAAGAAGGTAACGATCAAGTATTATGCTTCGAAATACCATTAAAAATTACGAAATGATCTGTTTTTTGTTACGGACCTGCACATGCTATAATTAAAGGTCACAGTATGAGTAGCCAAAACGATCTGGATTCGATCATTTAATGTTTATATCATTTAATTTATCACGATTATGCTGTATTGTATGCGAAAATAATTGTCTCCATTTCGAGATTTTATGTGTGTGTATGTGAATATGTAAGATATTTTTAATAAAATAATTTTCAATTTATGTTGGGACATTTTATTCTATTCTTCATTCTTTCATTTAGCTTTGTGTTAGTTTTTAACAAGATTTTTTAATAATTATACAGTCGATACAAACAACTCAAGGTTGTAGCAATTATGGATAAATTGCAGATTGTACTGCTGCTTTATAGCTGTTATTGAAGCTACTCTTCTAAGATAGCACTTTAATTAGGCAGTAGCTTTTTATCATTAGTCGATAATAATGTATTAGTTGTATAATATGCAGGGTACGTCAATATGCAAGGGGCGTTAAATTGGCTAAGGCTAATTAATTTGAAAGTAAAACAGGAGCCTAAGTATTTCGTAATAGAATACATAATGCATATAAATTTTTTTGTATTCGCTATATTTTAGTAAATACAATATTATATACGGATGTACAGGAAACGTTGAACTCTTTTAATATTTTGCATTAAAATACGTATTTTCGGACTCTACCTTCTAATTGGTTTCCTTATTTTTTGACACCCTGTATGATATATTATATATTATTACGAAGAGAATAGATAATTTAATTTCTGGCCTAAAATCCATATGTGAGTTTAAGGTTTCTCAATTTGCATATGTTACTTTTCAAAATGTAAAAAATTTCATCAGAATTAATTACAATCTGCAAACATGTATTTATTTACAGAATAGTTAGAAATTGTTTGATATAATTGCGAGATTTTACTTATGAAATTTTTCGAATAAGTTAATTTTTACTTTTCTGTATATCTCTATTCACAATTTTTCTAACTCTTTTGACTCTCTATTTCACTCTCTATCGTTTTCCTATCGTAATTCTCATTTGACTTCCTCATCTATTTTGTCGTTTTTGTTTATCTAAATTATTTTATTTTTATCTAAATTATTTTTATCTTTATTATCTATCTATCTTTATTATTTATCTAAATTATTTATATCGTATCTGATAGTGGTAAGTAATTGTAATTTCATTGGAAACAAGATTTGTTGTATTCATCTGTCGGTAAAACGGCAGTGTCCGCAGCAATTTCGACACTTGGTGCCTTCAACGATAATTGATCGAAACTTCTCACCGGCGTATAATCATATATACCATACTCCGCAAGTGGGAGTTTCGGAAAATTTTTGTATACAGTATCTCAGAACTTCCTCCGAGAAACTTGTGGGGACATAGAGTAAATTAGGACAAACACAAAAGTTTCATACCATTTGGCGATATTCGCAATAATTATCGAATTATTATAGAAATATAATGAACGAGCGCGCGAGATAGTAGAAATATTAAAGCCGCTTGAGCTCTAGTGCAGCTCAATCGACTCAGCAACTATTGCCGACACGCGGTAAAAGACACAACGGAATTATAGCTGCAATTTCGTAAAAATGTTATTGTAAAAACATTGTGCTGTCGAGTGCGACATTAGACATATCTTTTCATTTTGTATCCCTCTTACACTTCGAAATGTTTGTTTAGCATCTGTATGATCAAGATTTTTGCTAATATACATTCTTATAACGCATTGACTCTTGCGCGCATGTGCAAGAGAGAGAGAGAGAGAGAGAGAGAGAGAGAGAGAGAGAGAGAGAGAGAGAGATATATATATATAATGTAATAAAATAAACAATAAATAATGGAAATATTCAAAACACGTGTTCTCTCTCTGTGCATATAACATGCAGAAACACATGCAGGTTATTAACAATTCGCGATTATCTGATTATCTTTTAGTTTTATTATGAAATAAACGAACGCTTTTTTGTAATAAACTTGGGAACGTTAATATTACTGTTTCAAATTAAAAATTCTTGTTAATTTACCAATAATTTATGATTTCAGGAATACAATTAGAGGATAGTATTCAGGTCACAGTGACGACTGTGAAAAACCTGACTGTCTATTGAAGCACGGTATCACCGTTACCGTAGAAGTCAGATTCAAGCCTGAGAAAATGATCAAGAATTTGATCAACGATGTGAGCGCAATACTTTTCAACGTGCCCCTACTGTTTGTAGGGGTCGATGGAACAGATGCCCACGACTATTATAACGCTGATGGTAGCAAAGCTGAATGGCTGTTGCAGGGAGGCGTCGAATATATCTATAAAAATAATTTCCCTGTGTTGGCTACTTATCCTAGGGTTAGTAGCCAACATTTCTTTTTCTTCAAACGAGAAATCTTTCGTCCGACCGCAATCACACTTGTGCATTTGTTTTGATAATAATAAATATCAATTAATTAACGTGACACTCTATTTCACGGATGCTTTCGACAATGTTTGAATGAACAAGTCCCCAGTTTAATAATGTATGATTTATTTTTCTATATCCATTTTTTTGACGGATTTTCCTGTGCCCGAATGTTTATTGTAAATGTTTATTGTGACGCTGTTTGCAGTTTCCACTGGTTGTACGTTATTCATTGCAAGAAAACAACAATCCGATATGCACTTTGAAATACCATCAAAAATTATGTAATAAACTGGTTTTGTTATGGACTGCTATATGCTATAATTAATAATTACAATGTGTTTAGCCGAAACAATATTGGTCTCGACTTTGTGTAATTTAATTTATCCTGATTACGCATTGTATGCGAAAATAATTGTCTCAATATTGAATGAAAAATATATTTCACATTTTTTGTATGTATATGTACGTAAAATATTTGTCATAAAATAATTTTTGATTTATGTCAAGATATCTTTTTCTTCATTTTTTATTTATCTTTATGTTAGTTTTCAACAAGATTCTCTAAAAAATAATGATGTTACATGATTGTTACAAACAACTCAATATTGTGGCAGTTATGTATAAATTGCAAATTGTACAGTTATTATTATGAAGCTACTCTTATAAAATTGTACTTTCATCAAGTAGTAGAGTTTCTTTTATCATTGGTCGATAATAAAATACTAGTTTTAATATGCAGTGTTTGTCAAAAGGTCAAAATTAACCAATTTGAAAGTAAAAGAGGAGCCTGAATAGAATACATAATGTATATAAACTTTTTTGCATTCGCTATGGTTTAGTAAATACTGCGTTCTGTATGGGTATATAGAAAATGCCGAACTCTTTTAATATTTTGCATTAAAATATGTATTTTTGGCATTTTAACTCTTAGTTGGTTATCTTACTTTTTGACATACCCTGTATGATATATTATGTACTATTACGAATAGATAATTGTATTTCTAGTCTAAAATCAATACGTGAGTTTAAAATTTCTCAATTTGTATAAATATTTTTCAAAATGTAAAAAATTTCGTCGAGATTAACTGCAATGTGCAAACATGTAATTACATACAGAATAGTTAGAAATTGTTTGATACAATCGCGAGATTTTACTCATGGAATTTTTCGAAAAAGTTTATTTTTACGGAACACATCTTTCTAAATTTCTTCTAATCGAAATTTTTCCAATTTCTTTCGTTCCGTTTGGCTTTCTCATTCATTTTGTCGTGTTTTTATTCTTTATTTTATATTTGTATCGTATTTGATGGTAAATAATTGTTATTGTGAATAAAGCCCTAAACACAATGCCAGGCAACAGGCAATAAGAATAAAAATAGACCAATCGCAATCGACTATTACAAGAATAATCTATTGTGATTGGTCTATTTTTATTCTTACTGCCTGTTGCCTGACATTGTGTTTAGGGCTTAATTGTTATAGTGAGTAAGATCTGTTGCGTTCATCTGTCGGTAAAACGACAGTATTCGCGGCGGTTCCGACATCTGGTGCCTTCAGCGACGGTTGATCGAAACTTCTCACCGGCATATAATCACACTCCATGGATAGGAGTCTCGGGAAATTTACATATATGAATATTAAAAATGTTGAAAAATAGAAAAAAGAAACTTGCACATGAAACGCGTAACTCGACAAAGAGCGTGATTCTAATAAAAATACATGTAAAAATTGCAAAAATCTTGACGGAGCAAAGGAGAAAATTTCACTCACTTCTCTTGTAAGACGGGCAAGTTTATAAGAAGGAATGTTTAAAACGTATCTCGAAAAATCTGATGGGTGCCAAAGTTTCCGAAAATACAGCAACAACTCGCGAATGCAACATGCACTTTGTAAACATGTAGATGCAGTTCTTTGTAAAAATATCGATGAAAGGAATAAGAAAAAGATACTGTGCATTTCCTTTGTTTAAACAGAGATCTTGTAAAATTGTTCGTTTTTCCGTCCGTGATCGCGTAAATCAATATATGTGATCATTTTATTGATCAATACATTTCCGATAATAAGTTTGAACTATTGAAAGTCGGACTGGACCGACAAAAGATAACGCTCCTCGTAAATTTTCACGATGATAATATAATAAGATGAAACAGAAATATTAAAATGCAATTACGCGCACGAACACAATAAGTCTACCTATCAGACGCCACGTTTCTCTTATATTATCGCGCGCGTGTCACGGCGCCTTTCACGGGTGTATAATCGCTCCGGCGAATTTGCCGTGCACGTTTAAACGTTTGGTTAGCCCCACAGTAGCACCGCGCCGATACTATCGTTGCATTTCAATTGGCGGGAATGCGACTAATAATTACAAGTACAGAGAGATACCGCTGTAACTCTTTAATTACGATATTGGACTGTTCGCAAGATTCGCGAGATTAATGCACTGTTTATTGCGCACTGCGAATAGCACATTGTTAGCAAACTATTATACAGTCATTTGAAATAATGCAGACGTATTAATAAATGGTAATAATAACGCTAATGCGCACCACTTATTTTGATTTGAGTAATTTAGGAAGCCATATTTTCCAATTTCATAAAGTAAATGTATTGTACCTTATGAAAATTATTATTAAATAAAGAGTATATAATAGAATAATTAATGTTCGTCGAGAGAAATTTCTTCTGCCGTATGTGTGAGCGCTTAGATCGAAGCAGACGGTACGATCTTTTTGTAAACACACGATATGATGTTTTATCGGTTCGTGTAGATCTGGTCTTAGATTTTC